TGTGCCCTGTGCTATCTCAAAACTCAAGGTTCTAGCCTTGGGTGAASCCTTCTCTCTGGAACATCTTGTGTAAACTGGGCTCTGGCCTCATCTGAGGGGGATTCTTTACCACAGGGCGACGTTACTGCGTTTTTTTACGTTCTTGTTGGGGAATTCTAGACAGGTATGCTAATTTGCAGGGTCTATAAAAACTGTGTACGTGTTATAGGGAGGCGCATGTCTGCGTATTCCTGCTTTGAGGAGTTGTGCACCCAGGATCCTATAAAATACTGAGGGAAAACCCTTTTATCCMCTTAACTGTGTTTGCCTCATAATTCTAGGAGCAGCCAAAAGGAAACTCATATGACACCAACCCGCCCTGTGGCTCCGAGAGCAGCGGGCTGAGCACACAGAAACACGGGGGCACTGCCTGCTCCTCACCCGGCCCTGCTCACTGCCTCATGGTTGCCCACCCTGGGGCTGAGCTCTGCTTGCCACGATCAAGCTGCTCCACTGACCTCCACTTCCCTCCTGAAAGGCAGCTGGACTGACASAAACATCCCGGGATTCTGAAATCCCTTCTGCAGTGAGCAGAGGCAGCAGCCCGGCACCGCCCTCKGCATCCTGGAGCCACACAGAGAGGCACAGCATTCCCAGGGAGCTGGCTCACCTGAAATATCCGAAATGTCACTGTGCAGCTTCATAAAAACGCATATAAACTTCCTAAACAACGAATTTTYCACTGCATCTTTAATCAAAGCAATCATTCCGAGATCCTATTGTTACAAGTTATCACACCAAGAAATTCCACCAAGAGCTGACAGAATAAGACCCTGTGTGAAAAGGTTGTATTTTTTAAGAYRGAWTTTTTWTTTTTTRATAAATAAAAGCCTGCTCTTAATTTAACAACATGATAGCTATAAACCAGCTTCACTGGTGCCCAGATGGCAATTTAAAATGGTGAGAAAGTGGAGATGCGCTTTGAGGGGACTCCATTCACCCGAACATTGTACTGCTTCAAAACCAAACTCTGCCTTTCAAAATGTCAAAGGCAACAATTCACAGGCAAACACCATCTGGTGTATTTGTTCTCTTCAATTCCTTTTAGAACCAGCTGAAAAAAAAGGACATTTCAGAGCTGAAATGTCTGCATGCTACACTATGCACTGTTCTCACTGCAAGCTCTCAAAAACTGCCGATGCTGGCGTGGAATTGCTCAAAGGGACAGAACTGATCATTTGCAGCCCAGTCTCCRAAAAGTCCACTTGTAAAATTTGCTGGCACTATGTTGTGGTTTTTCTCTGGGATCTGGGTGGGAATTGCACAGGAWAGACTTCCCAGGATGTCCCCAAAACCCCTTTTGAAAGCGAGCTGAAGCTGGTGTTTTTATCACTCCAATGGTAAAGCGCTAAAGATCTGGTTGGTGCAGCCCTGAGATGCTGCAAGAGCTGCTGAATCCCAGCACGATCAAAAATAAACTGCAGTAAAAATAGTCACACTTTTGTGACTGAGGAAGAACAATGGCTGGGCCAGCGACAGAACCATTGGAAGCATCTTTCTGCCAGTTAAAGTTTTTAAATCACCTTCCTGGTAGATTGCCAGTGGATGGCTGTAGAGGAAGGGCAGGTCCTTGCAAGGAGCCACCAGGAGCAGCTCCCACAGTTCCAGGGAGGGCTTTTTCTGCTCCCTCTGTTGTTCTTTAAATCAAACCCAGAAGTGCCGGGGCCCACATCTCTAAACCCAGGGTGTCCACCCATCCTATGGTGTCATTAATAAATTCCTCAYGCAAATTCATTGAAATACCTGATGGGTGATCTCTCACTGAAATGATTCTCCAAACTGCATGAGATGCAGGTGGTGACAGTCTGAATTCCCTCCCTGTGACTCTGAATTCCCTCAGTGTGACCCTGAGCACTCAGACAGCAGCCTGAACCTGCCAAAATAAAGCTGGGTGAAGGCAGCCAACACCATGTACCCCCAGAATGYGAATACTCACATGATCAYATTCATTCTTAAAGGTCTTTTYCAGYCTAAATTAATTGTGTGATTTGCAGAAGAAACCTAGACACCAGTACCGGAATAAACAYTTCATAGCAACAATAATAATAATAAATTATAAAATAATTACACGCTGCCACGCAAGGAAGGCTCAGGCCTTACATTTTATTTCTGTAAATGAGAGACAGATCTGGCTTGTGATCAGCTAAGCACACTCAGGTAACAAATTAAAGCCATCCCTCTTATCCCCTTTTCCCAGCATGTGATGCTGAGGTTTTAGAACAATGTTAAATAACAGCTCACGAAGCGAGATGGAAAATCCGGAGTGGCGGCAACACGCTCCGTTTGCTTGTTATCAAGTCAATATCACACTCCAACTGCAGGCYCTCCAGACAACTCTCAAAAGCAAAACCGTTTTCTTTCGTGGCCATAACAAACAGCCCCGCAGGCCTCTGGAGAAGAAGTCACAGCC